AGAATTATGACGATGAGAACCTGTGTTGTCTTATAACGTGAGTAAGCGATCTCCGTCCCCACATTTTATACAAAGCAAAGTGTCCAGGATAATGTCGTTAAAGTTATCACATCAAAAACGTTGGCCATTCCGCAATATTACATACAAGAAATTGAGAAAAATTTTGAGTCGACATATCAATGGATAAGACAAAATGAATGACACTGAAGTGTTCTATAGCAGTTGTTATCTGTCAGAGTTATAAAAGGTCTGTTGTCCTGGGCAGACACGACTTCAGGTTGCAAAGAAAAGAACTTTAAGGATTCTTTATCAACCCCCTAAAGGATACTGAAATACATAGCTGTTATTGAAGATATGACAAGACGGTGTTTATTTCCCACATCTAAACAAAATGTTGAATAGTTATCATTAAGGTTAGAGATAAGTTGGAATATGATACGACGTTTTACAAGGAATCGCATTCGTCCAATCATCAAATTACGTTAACCAAAACTCCACAATATAATAGAAATATTCAAATTTCATCCCCGGTTCTCATGCATTACGAAAGACTAGCATGCACAGCTACCGGTTTTGTGTCATAGATAATCGTTTTCCATATCAGTTCCTTTAAATGAAATATTAAATTTCTCGCCTAAATTCCTCTACTTCGTATCATCATTATTCGCCCGATAAAACAAAGCTATAAAGATATGTGACCCTGGGCCTTAGAATGAAAACATACATTTGGCCTTGCCTTATAACATGTCCTGGTGTTTTAACCGTGCAAATATTTCTATCAATAGTACACACAGCGTATATGATCAGAAAGCGTATTATGTGCGTACAATACATGTAATGCAAAGCTGATGTGTGGCAACTCCAATACGTCCACTGACCACTTACGTTTCTAGTTAATGGCCAAATAGACATTTTCTCTATAGACGCGGAGAGAGCTGATTCAATCTATAATAACTCGAGCTAACATTTCCGAATTATCTAAAACAATTTTTAATTTAGGAATAATTATACACATTTACATATTACGTCAGCAAAATACATGATGTCACGTGTATCTGTAGCACGCGCACGTTATTTATAGGTCACATGGATATAAAACATATATAATCAGCTTGATTGTAATAGTCACCATATTTATAGTGTCTGTGAATATAATTGTATCGATTACAGGCGACTTACTAATTCTATAAGTATAATTCTGTTTATCAATTATCAAGGCAAACTATTCAATTATTTGGAAATCTTCGAAACACTCTACCGGGTGCCAGTAAATAACAGGACATGATGAAGGAATCGTTTCACGTGATGTCGAAAGATTATGACGTAAAATGGGTCAAGTGATAACAAATGATGTTTATTATGCTTCAGTTGAAAAGAATGGAACTTGTGTAAGTCTTCCATAGTTGAAAGTATCAAGTAATCAGTTTTAACAATGCAATTCATAAAACATTTAAAGGTATAATTTTGCAGAACGTTGAAAACGTGTGGATATCAAGTAAAGCTAACATATAGAAAGTTTGCACGAGAAGGTCCAGAAAGGATAGTTCGATATCGTGTACCTACAGGGGTGTGTGAACAAATACCTAGCTTTGTATGATGACGGGTTGTACTCGTGATTGTATCGTATACTCTCCACCCATATCCATCACGACAGCTAAACCTGAATCAGCTGCTTCACGATTAACTCACTAAACCAATAATTATATATTTTCACATATCACCGAGTCTGCTTCCTCGGTGGTCGGAGCTGCTTGTTATTGAACTTACCTATCTACGAGGGCTACGCGATCTTGACTTTCCAATTTAAAGGGACGTCTGTATATGTCTTTGATCGCGATATAATATTTCTTACAACAAGTTAATAAATCATATATGATATGTTTTATGTGCTTTAACTCGTTAACTCGTTAAGATATCACCAATTTTATTTCAACAGTAAAATCCGTCTACTTCGATACATATAGTTTAACACAAAGTTCGTTAAACTGTCCTGAATTTCTATTTTAAACAACAGGTTTCTGAGGTTGATAAAGATGCATAGACTGTATAGATATTATCATTGTCATCACAAGTACATATTTTAAAAGACAGTTTACTAATTTTCAAAAATCTCTCTAAAATTTACATTTGTCGAATAAGATGGCTAAATCATATCTGTGGATGTAAAATCGATTACGATCTATCGGTCAGATTAGATTGTTACGTAAATGGAGGAGACTGCTTTAGAAAAGAATCGGGATATTTTCTTGAAGAAAACGGTCAAGCTATACTGCAGAAGTGGAAGAGAAGATTTGAATTAAACAATGTCCCTGGCTACATTGAAACTCCCATTGAGTCAAATGATCTACCGAATAATTAGGCAGACTCGCCGCTAGTAAGTGGTCGTGAATCGATCTGATTTCTATCGAACATTTCAAAATCTAAGTGCGGTGGCAGTGGAAACAACTTATGTAGGGGATACCGCAGACAATTTTGGAAACAGTTAACATTTTCACCTCCCCTCTGATAGACCGTAAACAGTGCTACCTATTGTTGGTGTTTCATCAACACTGCCACCTTTAGTGCTAGGAACTGAAGGCAGTGTTATTTCCTATCGACGTGACGTGAAAATGTTTACATTGTCTTATTTCGTGTGAATGACTGTTTACATTGTCTTATGTTGGGGACGCTGAAGACAACGTCAGCTTCGTGGTAAATGTGGGCAATGTCACCTTTCGTCGGAGTAACCGTTAACATTATCACCTTCCATGTTTGGGACGTTGAGGGCAATATCAGCTTCGCCGAAGTAAATGAAGAAAAACGTCACTTTTCGTCGGAGTGACCTAAACTGATGTCCATTAAGTGGATACGTTGTAGGTGTTGTCAACGTCTGCCGGGAGATACATATGTAACATTCTGTCGCAGTAACGTACACAATATGTTTTTAATGGGATTCTGGGCTTCTGGAAACAAATTTTACATACTGGAACCCATTGTTTTTAATAATAAACTTAAAAAGGACTTGTGAAAATAAATTTTAGATCAATCACTGGAGTCCGGATAAACAGGTCAACCTCTATTCCTTACTGTTCACTTGTATGTCACGTTTCGGATAAAAGACATGATTACTGGCTAAATGTCTCGATCGAAATAAACAAGCTATGTTCCTGTAACGGCTTTGTGCTTATGTGTCACAATCCGGATGAAAATGACATCCTATGATTGCTCTGTATACTTATATGTTTGGTTCAGTAGTCTTCAGCCCTTGATCGCTCTACTCCAGACAATCCGTTTTATTATTAACGATAAAGAAGCTACATGTGTTCACTATTGATTAATTTCTTTGATTGATGGCCTGTGATCGATCTTTTACCTTGTGGCGCTATACCAGGTAAGCAGATTACTATCGACAGGTGACTGCATTAAGGTACAGCATCCCAGAACAACCATTTACGTCATTGTCTCGTGGGCATCTAATTGTGTCTGTTATACCGCTGATCAACGGAAAGAAAAGCAGCCCTGCTATCAAGCGGCTTCGTTATCAAATGTGTCTCTAAAACCAGACTACAAACATTAACCTGAGGACAATACATAATGAACATAACTGCCAATAGCTTATTACACACAATGGAATAATGTATACTAAACTTCGAGTTATTAATAATCAGTGCACACACGTTCTTAATACTCATTCTCATAAACAGATAGAGTAAAAGTTATCAAAATCATCAAATCAGTGAGAGCTACTTCATATCATTTGTTGTCAACGTCGACTTGGAATCGCTGAACCAGACACGTGTAACAAGCTAAAAGAGAGGTGACACAAACTTAATGGGTGATAGTTTTACTGACATATGACACATGTAAGTGCCCACTTTCCACGTTCATGGCGACTGGTTTGTTTCTTCGTAGGTGTTTTGTTTCATATAAGTATCATAATTATGCTAACCAAATATTCAAATATCAATTTCCCTGCCTAATGTTTCAACAAATACAACATGATTTTGGTATTGGAAAAGTGACTAATAGTTCAATGACAAAATTGTCTATGTCAATGTTCTGACTTCACATATATATGTGATTCTCATGTCCATTATTCGTGATGTATGACATTGCAAAACTATTTTATGATATTGTTTCCCCGTGTTTGAGACAGCAATAATTCTAAACACTTTGTTTGTGTTTTCTTTACATCTTTACAAGTGACCAGAAATTACTCAAACAATACGCGAAGCGCGATGGATGAGATCTTAAGATATACCTGTGGTATTGGGAGGCGTTTATTTTACCGTGTATCGCGTGCCTCTGTGATGTCTATATATACTTCTACTTGACCCCCTCCATGCCTGAGTGGCGCAGATGACTTTACTCTATGTGTATAGTTGTATGCCGTTCGCTGCTTCCCCCCATCTCCCTCCCCAGATGGGGGATATGCGAGAAATATGTTTTTGTTTATACCGCAGGCTAGCAGAATATACCTCAGAGCAGAAGCTTACAGAGAATAAACCAAATCATATTGGCATTTTGGCAAATTTTGGCGCCATTTCAGATTAAGAATAGCCCTCTTGATTAATTAACACTTTTTAAGTGGGTATACAGTTCCGAGCTAATATCAGCATGATACCTCTACGAGGAATTAGCCTGAAAGTCAACTGCTGTAGACAGTCTGTAACTCTTAGAGATATTCCAAATATTTCCCAGTTCCCATAATTCGACTAAGGAATACACGATACATGGATATGCTGTAACTTATGATAACTTACAGTTACTTTTAATGTAACAAATTATGGATTTATAACGAAAGATATAGGAAAGCTATAAATCACGGCACAAAGTGACTTTTGAATTAAGTTAAAAACACCTCTTACAGGTAAATGTGTTAATCGTTAAGTATGTGTATACATCAAAACGCAATGAACCGTTAGCCCTAACACTAAGGTCAAGCATAACTGAAAGTAAGGATCAGGAAAGTGCCCGTCCCTATAGCACTCAGTATGGTCCCACGGGAAGCGATCCCTTACCTTTATATCGTCCGGCGGCTCTTCCTTAATCTTTACAGGTGAATCCGTTTGACGTTCACTAACTATACCCGGCACATCGGTTTCACTGTCTGAGTTGTCCATGGTAGAGAGAGGTACTCCAAGTGTTTAGCGGTTAGAATACTTGTGTGTTTCTCGTGTAGCGGCCGTGAATATGTGATACTGCCTAAACCCAAATCTAGCCGTATTGACTTGAAAACTGAGCTGCATGCAACCCGAGCCGCCATATTGATACTAATAACACGCATAGCATGTAGAAGCTCAAAGCATTGTGCGCGCTAACGGTAGAAGACTGGTGTATCAAATTGCCCAGTTTGTACGCTAAATCCTCTGTAATTGTGTACGTGGAATACCAGGCAGGACCTCGGTTTTGTAAGACGCTGGGTAAACAATAAAAGTTCTCCCAATGCTTTATCAAACGTATTATCACGGCGCATTGTCATTACTGAGCCTACCCATAGTTTTTGCTGTCTGTTATGTCCCATGTATTGTTGAGATAATTCTGACGTCCCGTTCTGAATAAACAACGTATTATCTTTCTTTTTCTAAATGCTTCCTTATTAGGTGATGCATTGATTTATTCGTGTCATATTATCTGTGTTTTTTTTTCGGGTACATAAAAACATGTAATATGATATATTTAACTATCAATGTTTTAATCATAAAAATGTTTAGATAACAAAGGTATTTGTTGGGATATTCCTAATCCAGGATCGGATTTAACTATTTCAAGAAATGAATCGTAACATAATTTAAATAACTGGGTAATGTAAAGAAAACTAGACAAAATATTTTAGCTTTTTCTGTAGATGGTACTGGCATTTTTCATCTAAACGTATCAAAACTTTGGGATTCTTTGTCGACAGAGGAAACAATTCCGCAATTTGGGTAACACATTAATTTGTTCATTGACATTTTACATTGCAATTTTTAACTTAAAAGAGATGATATTTAATAATAACCTAAAATGAAGAGAGAGGTACTGTAAACTTGCTAATTACTTTTATTTGATGTAATAGCCAGTCACGAGGTTGTTATGCTATGTTTTGAATTATAACTTAACTTCGATATTGATATTAAAATATCACAAGCCTTTTGACTACCTAGACATTGCAGTATACATTTTAAATGTATAATGTTTAAATGCACCCCACAAAAGGAATATATTTATCTAGGGAACACAAATCATTAAGCGCTTACAATCCATGACACCTAATGCCCGATTTCAGCAAAATCATGAAAATGGAAATCTATTGTCTTAAAGGTGTGAATGTTGTTTTTGGATTGTACATTGGAGTAGTTTTTGAGAAAGATATTTGATTAGGGACAATAATGGTACTACTCTCTCTTGTTGCAGTAATGATTGCTTTTAATTATCATTATTGTTACAAGATGGCGACAAATACATTGGCAGGCGACTTGAATTAGAGTTCAATGGTGTATGTCCCCGTGTGGTCAGATCATATATTTTAGCGATTATATACTTTATACAAAAAACAATGCAAGACTTGACTACTAATAAAGCTGTTTATTAATAATGTTGAGAAGTCTTCTGTAGCCAAAACAATTTCTTGGGCGTAACTATCTCTTTGGCGTATTGGGGGCTACTCACTCATAAGCAAACTATTGAAAACTTACTTGCGACAAGCTTGACTCTGTGAATCAGAGAAGCGAAGTAAAGTGAACTGTGCTTGACTCCGGAACAGGAGAAATCACTTGACTCTGATGAACAGAGAAGCAACTTGACTCGCTGATGCCAGAGAAGCCAGGAATGATAGGACTAGACTCTGTAAGAGTATAGAGAAGTACTTGACTCTAAGAGACTCTGACGGTTCTAGAGAAGTGACTTGACTCTGACACTGACTCACAGAGCAGCTAGTATAATACTAGGACAAACTTGACTCCAAGGTAACCAATGAGAAGACTCTGGACTCTGAACCGTTACAGAGCAGCGACTTGACTCATGAAAGGACCCTGTTAAGAAGTTTGACCCCAATTTACACACATCTAATATATTAAAATTTTTTGAATGACATGTATGAAACAAGCTAAAAATAAAAGGAGATTTTAAAATTGGGGGATGAAATTCCTCCGGAATTTAAAAGCCTTCCTCCGGAATTTAAAAGTTTGACCCCCATTTACCCATATCCAATATAGTAAATTATATTAATGACAACAATAAAGAAGCTAACAAAAAAAAAAAAAAAAAAAAATAAATAAAAATTTTAAAATAGGGATTTTTAAATTGATGGGGAGAAGAGTTAAAAAGTCAACATAAACCCCAACAAGAGTGAGTAGCCCCAACTAAAATATCATTAAAAATACAAACATTTGCAAATAAAGAAGAACTAAATACATTTGTAATAAAAGCTAAACAATGAACAGGTACATACAAGTTAAACATACAATCATCTTTCCTAAAGGTGATGAAGGGGATGGCGGGTGGGTAAGGCACAAAATAAAATGCTCCTCGTTCTCCTCAACGCTGAAAAACTTAATGGAACCAATACCAATACCCCTCTAAAGAGTAATTGATGATTGGTTAAAGATAAGGAAAAAACACTCATTAGCATACTAATTTGCATAAAGATACGACACATAAATGAACAAACAGAAATAAGATAAATTACGATTGAAACAGGAAGCTAAAGAAGGAAAACAGTTTCTTGCATAAACTCAAATTTAATAAAATATTACATTTTACATTTTATACAAAAAACAATGCAAGACTTGACTACTAATAAAGCTGTTTATTAATAATGTTGAGAAGTCTTCTGTAGCCAAAACAATTTCTTGGGCGTAACTATCTCTTTGGCGTATTGGGGGCTACTCACTCATAAGCAAACTATTGAAAACTTACTTGCGACAAGCTTGACTCTGTGAATCAGAGAAGCGAAGTAAAGTGAACTGTGCTTGACTCCGGAACAGGAGAAATCACTTGACTCTGATGAACAGAGAAGCAACTTGACTCGCTGATGCCAGAGAAGCCAGGAATGATAGGACTAGACTCTGTAAGAGTATAGAGAAGTACTTGACTCTAAGAGACTCTGACGGTTCTAGAGAAGTGACTTGACTCTGACACTGACTCACAGAGCAGCTAGTATAATACTAGGACAAACTTGACTCCAAGGTAACCAATGAGAAGACTCTGGACTCTGAACCGTTACAGAGCAGTGACTTGACTCATGAAAGGACCCTGTTAAGAAGTTTGACCCCAATTTACACACATCTAATATATTAAAATTTTTTGAATGACATGTATGAAACAAGCTAAAAATAAAAGGAGATTTTAAAATTGGGGGATGAAATTCCTCCGGAATTTAAAAGCCAAAAATGAGCGAGTAAATGAGCTTACGAGCGAGAGCCCCCAATTGATAAGGGATAAAGGTTAAGAAACAGTCATATTGAGTTGAGCCGACTGTAAAGTGGCTGGATTAGTATGAATGTACCGAATAAAACAATCTGATGACCATCGTCCCAAGACTTTAATAACATGGTCTTGGACTCCGGCCGCTGCTGCAGAAGTGGCGGCACCAATTCTGAAAGAATGACCGTTGAAATCTTTACTATTCACACCTATGAGGGACAGGCAGGCTTTAAGGTAAGAAATAAAGGTATGACGCATTAAAGGCTTGGACTTAAATAAGTCCTCGATGAACAAAGGGCAAGTAGGAGTTGCCCCGAGAGAATGTCTGACCTTTAAATAATTTACCATAGTCAACACAGGATGTAAAACCTCATTATCAAAAATTCTTATGTGAACGCCTTTACCAAAAGGATCCATTTTTGAAGAACGTAAATACAAAATGAAACTGGACTTATCTGGTAGAACATGGACATCACTAAGACGAAGGTATGATTGGTCACCGAGTTTCCTACAGGTAAATTCTCCACATCTCAAAAAACCATAAAAAGCTGTTTGAAAAATACAGCATAGCATTTTTTTGACAAATGGTTCAAACAATCCTTGACTACTAGAAATAGTTATACACATATGATTAAGCAACTTAAAGGTTATAGGCAATCGCTTATTGGAAAAATTAACCTGAGTTCTTTTAATGCCCCGCAAGATGTAATTTAACCGCATGGTGTTTGCGAGAGGGTCCCCCAAGTTTAACTTGATGTAATGAAACCTTATGCCAGCTAAATAGAGTTTAATAGTGTCGAACTTCAAGCATAAAGCTTCCTGGCAGTATGTCACAAAAAATATAAGTAAATCTTCATCAACAATGGGAAGGGAATTAGCAGCACATGCAATTCCCCTCATAACCAGAAATGTCACAAAACAGTTCAAACCGGACTTGTAAGTAGCCAGAGTCTTCTCACTAAGGGCATGGTTCCATAAACTATCAACCGCTGTATTCAGCTCATCATCAATGAGGCCATAGGCAGACATGGAATTGGTAGTACATCTGCTTGAGGTGCTAGCTGTCTGAATTTGCACATCTGAAAACGAGAGATGGCGTCTGCAATGTTGTTTTGCTTACCAGGTACATGGACTGCATGAATCACAAAGTTATGCACGGCAGAATAGTATGTAAGTTTTCGCATAAGACACATAATGCTGGACACTTTGGATCTCCCTTTGCAGATTATGTCTACCGTAGCTAAATTATCACAATGAAAAAGAATACGTTTTTTATGCCACTGGTGACCCCACAACACACAAGCCATAACAATAGGGTATAGCTCAAAGAGGGCCATAGATGTGTCCATGGCTTTAAGTTCACTAGGAAAAAAACCTTGAAACCACTGGTTAAGGTAGATTCCCCCGAAAGATTCAGATGTAGCATCGGTAAAAAGATGGAGGTCAGCTGCTGATGTGATATGATCATCCAGAAAAAAGGATTTGCCATTCCAATTCTTCAAAAAGAACGACCACATGTAAAGGTCTGATCGACACTCATTGCTGATTTTCACATGATGATGTAGCTCGCGCACTGTAGTAGAAAGCGATATGAGATGAGAGACAAAAGAACGCCCCGGTCTAATACACCGACCGGCAAAGTTCATGTGACCTAGCAAGCTGAGCAACTCGCGTTTGGTACAAGACTTTTTTCTCTTGAAAGAATCCAAAAACTCAATAATTCTTTCCACTTTTTCACGTGGAAGACGACATTCCCTCAGATGAGAGTCTAGGGACACACCAAGGTATTCGAGTGATGTACAAGGGCCTACAGTTTTATGCGCACCTACAGGGATGCCTAATTCCTTGAACATAGACATAAAACGTTCCATAGTAAGAGATGCATTGACATAAGCTGGTTCAATAACTATGAAATCATCTAGCAAGTGAAGAATGTTACGAATATTGTACTTGTTCTTAGCTATCCAACAAACTGCCCGAGAAAGGCTATCGAAAATTTTTGGGCTTGAACGACATCCAAATACGAGGCGCGTAAAGAAATAATATTTGTTGTTCCACTTGACGCCGTGGTAAGGCCACAAAACGGGATCAATTGGTATCAGCTTGAAGGCATCAGTGATATCGGTCTTCATTAGCCATGCATCGAGGCCACAGCGCTTAATAAGATGTATAGCATCATCTACTGTAACATACTTCAGCGAGCAAGTTAATTTATCAATTAGACTATTTAGGCTAGGATTGTTTGTGTCTTGATGTGGAGCGGATAAATCAACAATTAAACGCTTTTTCTTCGAATATTTATGTTCAGCTAAGCCTAACGGGTTGATGCGGTACCTGGAATAGGGAATATTGTCAAAAGGACCTATTAAGTATCCTTTATTTAGTTCTTTCTCCAACAACTCTGAAACACTTCCTGGGTCACTGATAGCTGACCTCAAGTTTTTACACACTATGGAGTTAATAGGAAGGTGTTGTAGACCAGTGTCAAAGCCGTGAGTTAGACCATGCATTAACTTATTAACAAATTGCTGATCAGGGTGTCCTTGAAGTTTGGAATGTAAAGCCTCAACACATATTGGGGTAGAAGCTGTCATAGGATCATGGTGATGGAGGGCTAAGATGTCTTCTTTTGAGGCTGACGGCTCTCTAAAGGGCAGGCTACTTTTGTGTGGCTTGCCTTACAGGTTAGACAGATGTGAAGGTTATTGCAAAGATTGGAAGAACAACCAAATCTACCATTGAAATTGTTACAAATCTCTCGCCCCTCAAAAACAACTCTGGGTCTGCCTTTTGAGTCAGAAGCCATAGACACTTGCCCTTTATTTTGACGAAACTGGCTGTTCCCAGAGAAACCACTGCTACTCTGTCGCTTATCCTGGCCTGGGTTGGGGCAAAATTTTGTAGTATGTGCAGTGCTACCACACATTGAACACGAAACTGGAACTAAATTGGCAAATATGTTGCAGAACAAGGTATTATCCCGAACGGACCAATCTATTTTCCGGTTATTGAAACGTAAATGGGCTGCTGCCTTCAACGAAAACTGTCGATGATATTCATAGAACCCGGAGCTGTATCTGGTTCCCATGTCTACGATATCTCGCTCGTACATGTCAAGCTCAACTCGGCGATGTGGGTGAGTGGAACACATGACTTGTTTATAAACGCTAAAAGCTAAAATGAATTCGCTTAGAGTAAGAGTTCTGTTGAGCCTAGCGTCCTGTTTCTCGTTAATACCTAAGCTTGAGTCACTTTGACCACTGTAGTACGGAATAAGGATAGCAGCCAAATTAACATCTTTCCCGGTTATAATCTGTTGGCGCAATGAGGGAGATATTGTTTCTACTAGCGGTAAGGATTCGGAGGTGTACCCATATTGGGTACGCTTATAGGAGAAAATACCTGCTGAATCGCCGGAAGGAATACTTTCCTCTTGAAGTTTCCGATACGCACTGTCCAGTGTAAATTCTTCTGTGACCGCCGCCAATGTCGAACCGGGATGCATCAACGGCGAATTGGCTACATGGGTGGTAGGAGTCGGGGCTCGGATACCATCAGTCGCCATTTGACGAGAACTACCTGCAGCGGCAGCAGAAGTAGGTTGCACAGATCTAGACTGAGTGAGCGTGAGTACGCTATTCTCCAACCTGCAATAACAGTTCTGGAGAGTGTTAACACTGTCTGCTAAGCTGGAAATCATGTTTCGTAAGCTGGTAGAATCTGCCCGTTCCGGACTTCCGGTCTGGCGGCCATCTTGTCTCGGAGCATCATGGGATGCAATCGCGTCGCTCGGGGCATGCTGGGATACCGCACCTCTCAGGGCCGCTTGTGCCTCCTTCAATTTTTTAACAAGTTCCATACGCTTAGAACCACTCCGGTAGGGCACATTCAATAAATGAAGTTCTTGTTGTAATCGAGCGATTGTCCAATTTTCTACAAATTCCGGATCGTAAGGAACTGTTCTGTTAGATTTACGCCCACGTTTCGTAGCCATCATTGAACAATGGAACCGACCCTCACCTCTGACACGGAAGTTCTTCAACACTATTAGTTGTGAGGTGGTTGTTTATGATACTCCTATTAATCCAGGCGCAGGTAAATACACCAGATCGGGAATTGTCACACAACACAGCTCACGACAGCGAATGGTAGTACAAAGTATTGACACTGGAATTGTCGATGGAAAATCCAAAATGGCGAATGATCGGAGTATCCGACTGATAGATAAGAAATCCTAAAAAGGGAGAACAGTAACAAGTTCAGCGCTTCTGAAATCACGCAACGTTAAACTCACAACTGCATAAAGATCGTATGCGCAAACTTGGCCACAAAAGTGAAGTAATAGCTTTTCAATAGGTAAAATTTAAGGCACAAAATAAAATGCTCCTCGTTCTCCTCAACGCTGAAAAACTTAATGGAACCAATACCAATACCCCTCTAAAGAGTAATTGATGATTGGTTAAAGATAAGGAAAAAACACTCATTAGCATACTAATTTGCATAAAGATACGACACATAAATGAACAAACAGAAATAAGATAAATTACGATTGAAACAGGAAGCTAAAGAAGGAAAACAGTTTCTTGCATAAACTCAAATTTAATAAAATATTAAATTTTACATTCAGATCAGTTATTTAGTCACTACGATAATTAAGATAAGGGTAATCATGAAAATATTCATTTGATCATTTTTCCGGTTGTGCAATGTTATTTGAAATGATGTCCAACTCCCATTGCGGTCAATATAAATGATACAGACAGAATATCTCAATGACATGGCTTAATTAAGGTGACTTTATGATGAAGACTAATATAGATTTATTTCTAGGGCTTTCGAAATGTCGAAAAATGTCACCATTCCAAGCCCATTGCAAACTTATCTTTGGTAACTTTTGTGGTTTCGTTGGGTTTTTTTTCCCCGTTTTATAATAGTTGACCGTTTGATTATATATCTGTGTAATGTCTTCCATTTATAACTTGCTATCGTCTGGTTTATTTCAGTGTATATTCGCTAACTGTTGCAATTTTCACGTTGTTTGTGTCCAATAGCTTCCCATTGAAGTCAATTCCTGTTGCTTTCTTCCTTTTGTTTTTTATGCGGATTGGTGCAGGAATTTGTTCCATATTTAGTCTTATTTGTATTTCTCTGTTAGCTGTTCCATTAATGACGAGATGCTATCAAATATCAATAATATGATTTAACAAATTCGTTTATAGTCACAAAGACCTTGCAAACTCTTTCCATTTCACTTTCAGATAAAGTAGTGATGTCTTATTAAAAGAAATTTATTGACCATGTCCATTATATATTTATAAACCAGAACTGAAAATGGTGATATTCTTCCCAGGTATATGATAAGTGTGATATTTTAAGGGTCGTTTATAGGTGGTGATAATGATTTCTCTGAACAAATGTTCCATATCTTTTAGCAATATAAAGCTGGATGTGTATGATTCTCGTAAGTATGCCTAGTGGTTCAGTTGTTGTTCACCTCGTTCTCATTTGGAAACGTGACGTTACTTACTTGAATTGACCGATGTTAACATGGCGGGAACCGTCGAATGATTATTCTCTGTTACCTTTAATGGAGACTCCATGTTAACCTTTTGTTTGTTCATTTTTTGCCAGAGTTTCTTCGAATTGTGTACAAATTAATATTCTATCAAAAGCTTCATGAAAACCGGCGCTCGCCTCGCCTGCATTATGAGACATTCTTCAAATGCTCTTAGATTTCAATAAGTCGTTAATCAATATATAAAATTCTACATACGTGTACGAACAAACGACAACACTTTAACTCTCTTTCCATTTTCAGATACTTTTGCTATCGATATAAACAAAACTCGAAGTGGTTCGGAGATCCATGACATTTACAAGACAATGTTATAACAGTTTTCATATTTCATTTTGTAAGTCTCAGTTTTTAGTCCACAGTCTTGTTTCAGTGCAGAAAAGTGAATATAAAGACAGTGTGCTTGTATTGGCTGTTGGCTCGCTGTCGGGTGACATTAGTGGACAGAGATTTGTGTTCGTTCTTATCTATCATTTATATGTTTTTTTCATATTGTTAAACACTAATATGTTTATACATTTAACTGTACGTTTCTGTATGATTAACGAATGGATAGTTTTCCGTTACCAAGTACTTAAAGGCTATGACCGCTGTTCAATTCTTTTTTAAGGAAAATTCGTGTAAAAAAAGATATTCTGAAATGAAAAGAACACGCTTTATCATCTTTCGGGTGTTTTTTTAAACATTAAATAAGTAGGAAATAAGAACATGATCAATTTTGCTGATCATGGTACCCAGATTTGCATAAATCATGCATTTGTCATAAATGACGTCAGTTCAGTGGGATATCTTTTATCAACAGTGTTGTTACTCGCAATGAAAAAAAGAGCTGAATAATGAATTGAGACAAATCAAAGAATTTGCATAAATTAATGTTTCTAGATTTTAAATGTCATCGTGGATATATTGGCTGACTTCCTTTTGCTTTTAAAACTAAGGTAAAGTCGAGGTGCAAAGCAAGGTAAGCAGGTCACAAAGCCCTGGCGATGCCCTTCAGTTGCACTTCAAGATATATTGATATTTTTCTGCCCATCAGAATTGGAATTCAGGGCCACAGCCGCATTACTCGCTATTTCCGACGACGAAACTAACATGGACAACTCTCCAACAAACTATTTGATAAGTGTGATGATTTCATTTTCCTTATTGTACAACTTCCATCACTTGATAAACCAAACCTATTCTGTGTATGTGTCGCAGTTGATTCTATATCATTAGAATTGTACAAACTATCACGATTTTCGTCACAGATTTTGTCAACTGACAGACAAAGGCATCACGCAATGTTTCGAGCGTGGCCGGTTGATTTAAATTATGGGGAAGCTTTACGGTCGTCATAATCTTTGTGCGATATGAAGTTGGATATTTGACGCTCGATAAAGCGGAAGTTGCATACCCTTTAGGCACACTTAGTTTTATTTTCTTTGAACCTCATGAAAATCATGTGTCTCCCTCTAAATCTAAATTTTTCAGACGGCCCATTTTATTTTTTAGAAAATCAAGATTCTGTTAATATGTCGGTATTTTCTTTGTTTCCTATGGCAACATCCCAATGGTGAGCAGGAATGAGATCAAATCTGCATTGTAAGTAAAGCATCTATATACAATCATTATACAGTTTGGTTTATAAATGTAAACAATGACAACACATCAGACAAACGGAATGTACATGTGTACGGGATATAAACATCGTGTATGAAGGAGAGCTTTCCAAAGTGGTATAAAATACATGATATCGTTTTTGCGCCATTTTTGTGAAAACAAACTACCAAACCTGAGTCAGTTTTTAGAAACTTTTAGCATAACTCTGCATAATGACATTTGATATGTGCTCGTGATATTGTCTAAAAATAGGTCCACTACCATCCAACTAAACTAGGGTAAATAGGCCAATTACAAAGTTCATTTATTTTCACAGAATATTTGAAAATATTCTATTCACAGGAACTATCATGGAATGCATTTAAAGTATATTGCTCTACATTTCATATTATAAGAGAAATGTATTTGCAATGAATT